CCCCCCCCCAAATTTTTTGAACCCCCTTATGATTCATCACCCCCAAACTCAATCCCAGCCTTCCCTTTGTGGTATGGTACCTTGCAGTACAATTTCAGAGAAATCCATACACTTGAACACAAGTTATTGTCTGGAAACTAGAAAAATGCTTATTTTTGGCCCCTTTTTGGCCCCCAATTCCTAAACGTTTCAGGCAATTACCCCCAAACTCAATTCCAGCTTTCCCTTTGTGATATGGAACCTTGTAGTACAATTTCAGAAATATCCAAACACTTACACACAAGTTATTGTCATGAAACTAGAAAAATGCTTGTTTTTTGCCCCTTTTTTGGCCCCTAATTCCTAAAATTTTGAGGCAATTACCCCCAAAATCAATTACAGCCTTCCCTTTGTGATATGGAACCTTGTGGTACAATGTCAGAGAGATCCATACACTTACACACAAGTTATTGTCTGGAATTACAAAAATGCTTATTTTTGGCCCCTTTTTGGCCCCTGATTCCTTAACTGTTGGTACCATAACCCCCAAAATCAATCCCAACCTTCCTTTCGTGGTATTGAACCTTATGGTAAAATTTCATGGAGATCCATTCACTTAAACTAAAGTTAGAGTGCGAAAACCAATGTGTCTTCGGACGACGACGACGACGACGACGACGACGACGACGACATACCAATATACGACCAAAAAATTTTCAATTTTTACGGTCGTATAAAAAGGGGGTGGTTTTCAAAACTAGAGGCTCTCAAGAGCCTGTGTCGCTCACCTGTATTTACTGATGCTTTGGAAATCATGTAAAATAAGGTTAAAATCATAATTAATAGTATTAGATATTAGATATTATAATGATATCTAAGATAATAACAAAGAAATGCTCCGCAGGGCGCAGCTTGATACGACCGCAGAGGTCGAACCCTGAACAGTTGGGGCAAGTATGGACACAACATTCAAGCTTGATACAGCTCTGAATTTGGATTGTGATTAAATATTTGACACAGCATAGGTTTCTGACACAGAATGAATGTGGTCTAAGAACTTAAAAATTTTAAATTGGACATTCACCTATTATGGTCCAATATCCAAAATCTAAATACATGGTTAGATTCAGCATATCAAAGAACCCCAAGAATTCAATTTTTGATGAAATCAAACAAAGTTTAATTTTAGACCCCGATTTGGACCAACTTGAAAACTGGGCCCATAATCAAAAATCTAAATACATGTTTAGATTCAGCATATCAAAGAACCCTAAAAATTCAATTTTTGTTAAAATCAAACTAAGTTTAATTTTGGACCCTTTGGACCTTAATGTAGACCAATTTGAAAACGGAACCAAAAATTAAGAATCTAAATACACGGTTAGATTAGGCATATCAAAGAACCTCAATAATTCAATTTTTGATGAAATCAAACAAAGTTAAATTTTGGACCCTTTTGACCTCAATGTGGACAAAGTTGATAACGGGGCCCAAAAATCAAAAATCTAAATACATGGTTAGATTCAGCATATCAAAGAACCCCATATATTCAATTTTTGTTGAAATCAAACAAAGTTTAATTTTGGACCCCAATTTGGACCAACTTGAAAACTGGGCCCATAATCAAAAATCTAAATACATGTTTAGATTCAGCATATCAAAGAACACTAAAAATTCAATTTTTGTTAAAATCAAACTAAGTTTAATTTTGGACCCTTTGGACCTTAATGTAGACCAATTTGAAAACGGAACCAAAAATTAAGAATCTAAATACACGGTTAGATTCAGCATATCAAAGAACCCCAATAATTCAATTTTTGATGAAATCAAACAAAGTTAAATTTTGGACCCTTTGGACCTCAATGTGGACCAATTTAAAAACGGGGCCCAAAATCCAAAAACTTAATACACGGTTAGATTCAGCATATTAAAGAACCCCAAGAATTCAAGAATAAAACCCCATTGAAATTGATCAAGAAATAAGCAATTTATACGAAGTATCTTCTTTTGCACAATACTGTGCAATTGAATATTTCTTGCTATTGCGCAATACTGTACAATTGACAATTTCTTGCTATTGCGCAATATTGTGCTATTGGATATTTCTTGCTATTGCGCAATACTGTGCAATTGAAGATTTCTTGCTATTGCGCAATACTGTGCAATTGAAGATTTCTTGCTATTGTGCAATACTGTGCAATTGAAAATTTCTTGCTATTGCACAATACTTATTAGATAATAATTTACACATCCTGTTTGGTGTGTATCTCCTACCATATCATTATTATTTGCTTTTAAATATTAATCAGAAATAACCAACTTAAAATGGAAAATTTTAAAAGAAAAAAAAAAGGAAAAAAAGAAAAAAAAAGAAAAAAAAAAAATCCCCCCCCCAAATTTTTTGAACCCCCTTATGATTCATCACCCCCAAACTCAATCCCAGCCTTCCCTTTGTGGTATGGTACCTTGCAGTACAATTTCAGAGAAATCCATACCCTTGAATACAAGTTATTGTCTGGAAACTAGAAAAATGCTTATTTTTAACCCCTTTTTGGCCCCCAATTCCTAAACGTTTCGGGCAATTACCCCCAAACTCAATTCCAGCTTTCCCTTTGTGATATGGAACCTTGTAGTACAATTTCAGAAATATCCAAACACTTGCACACAAGTTATTGTCTGGAAGTTACAAAAATGCTTATTTTTGGCCCCTTTTTGGCCCCTAATTCCTTAACTGTTGGTACCATAACCCCCAAAATCAATCCCAACCTTCCTTTTGTGGTATTGAACCTCATGGTAAAATTTCATAGAGATTCATTCACTTAAACTAAAGTTAGAGTGCGAAAACCAATGTGTCTTCGGACGACGCCGGACGACGCCAGACGACGACGACAACGACGACGACGCCAACGTCATAACAATATACGACCGCAAAAATTTTTTGCGCTTGTATAAAAACTGCAAAATTTCCTTAAAATTACCAATTCAGGGTCAGCAACCCAACAACAGGTTGTCAGATTTGTCTGAAAATTTCAGGGCAGATAGATCTTGACTTGATAATCAGTTTTACCCATGTCGAATTTACTCTAAATGCTTTGGTTTCAGAGATATAAGCCAAAATCTACATTTTACCCCTATGTTCTATTTTTAGCCATGGCGGCCATCTTGGTTGGTTGGCGGGGTCATCGGACACATTTTTTAAACTAGATACCCCAATGATGATTGTGGCCAAGTTTGGTTAAATTTGGCCCAGTGGTTTCAGAGGAGAAGATTTTTGTAAAAGTTAACAGACGACGCCGGACGATGACGACGACGACGACGATGACAACGACGGACGACGGACGCAAAGTGATGAGAAAAGCTCACTTGGCCCTTCGGGCCGGGTGAGCTAAAAAAGGAGGGTAGCTGTGAACCCGAGGACTATCCCAATATTTCATTTGATTTGTTTTATTGTCCCATACAAGAATATATAAGGTTTAGGAGTAGGGATCTCAACCGTTTACAAGATAAAAGCCCATTATCAAATTGAAGGGGGGTAGGGGTAAGAATATATATGATTAACGGACACTTAATTATCTACAAAATGTCTAATAATGAACAGTAAATTCCATACTTCATTTATACAGTAATACTAGTAAGTTTCAAACTGTATATATACAGTCCTACAGATCTTACCAGAAAACAGAAAATTTTCAAATAAATCTGTCACTCCAATGATTATCATATGCTAAAATATTTCCAAGATCTAATTAATAATGAAAATAAATCATTATCATATGCTGAAATATTTATAATATCTAATTGAACAGAACCATGGTTGTTTAACATAGTACTCTGACATAATTAATAATGTAATAATCTTCAAAATGTCTAATGATATAGCTTATAATCATTACCACTTAGGAAATAGATAATTTTCAAATAAATCTGTCACTCCAATTTTTATTCTGAGATTATTGCTGCTTACAATTATCTCTATCTATAATGAACTTGGCCCAGAAGTTACAGTGGAAAATATTTTGTAAAAATTTACAATAAAATGCTTCGCTGGGCGCAGCTTGATACGACCGCAGAGGTCGAACCCTGAACAGTTGGGGCAAGTATGGATAAAACATTCAAGCTTGATACAGCTCTGAATTTGGATTGTGATTAAATATTTGACACAGCATAGGTTTCTGACACAGAAAGAATATGGTCTAAGAACTTGAATTTTTTTAATTTACCTATTATGGTCCAATGTCAAAAATCAAAATACATGGTTAGATTCAGCATATCAAAGAACCCCATATATTCAATTTTTGTTGAAATCAAACAAAGTTTAATTTTGGACCCCAACTTGGACAAACTTGAAAACTGGGCCCATAATCAAAAATCTAAACACATGTTTAGATTCAGCATATCAAAGAACCCCAAGAATTCAATTTTTGTTAAAATATCAAACTTAGTTTAATTTTGGACCATTTGGACCTTAATAAGTAGACCAATTTAAAAAACGGGACCCAAAATTAAAAATCTAAATACACGTTTAGATTTGGCATATCAAAGAACTCCAATAATACAATTTTTGATGAAATCAAACAAAGTTTAATTTTGGACCCTTTTGATTTCAATATGAACAATTTGATAGCGGGGCCCACAAATAAAAAATCTAAATACATGGTCAGATTCAGCATATCAAAGAACCCCATATATTCAATTTTTGTTGAAATCAAAAAAAGTTTAATTTTGGACCCCAACTTGGACCAACTTGAAAACTGGGCCCATAATCAAAAATCTAAACACATGTTTAGATTCAGCATATCAAAGAACCCCAAGAATTCAATTTTTGTTAAAATCAAACTAAGTTTAATTTTGGACCCTTTGGACCTTAATGTAGATCAATTTAAATAAAATGCTTTGCTGGGGCGCAGCTTGATACGACCGCAGAGGTCGAACCCTGAACAGTTGGGGCAAGTATGGAAACAACATTCAAGCTTGATATAGCTCTGAATTTGGATTGTTATTAAATATTTGACACAGAATAGGTTTCTGACACAGAAAGAATGTGGTCTAAGAACTTGATTTTTTTTAATTTACCTATTATGGTCCAATGTCCAAAATCAAAATACATGGTTAGATTCAGCATATCAAAGAACCCCATATATTCAATTTTTGTTAAAATCAAACAAAGTTTAATTTTGGACCCCAACTTGGACCAACTTGAAAACTGGGCCCATAATCAAAAATCTAAACACATGTTTAGATTCAGCATATCAAAGAACCCCAAGAATTCAATTTTTGCTAAAATCAAATTAAGTTTAATTTTGGACCCTTTGGACCTTAATGTAGACCAATTTAAAAAACAGGACTTAAAATTAAAAATCTAAATACACGGTTAGATTTGGAATATCAAAGAACCCCATATATTCAATTTTTGATGAAATCAAACAAAGTTTAATTTTGGACCCCAACTTCAACCAACTTGAAAACTGGGCCCATAATCAAAAATCTAAACACATGTTTAGATTCAGCATATCAAAGAACCCCAAGAATTCAATTTTTGTTAAAATCAAACTAAGTTTAATTTTGGACCCTTTGGACCTTAATGTAGATCAATTTAAATAAAATGCTTTGCTGGGGCGCAGCTTGATACGACCGCAGAGGTCGAACCCTGAACAGTTGGGGCAAGTATGGAAACAACATTCAAGCTTGATATAGCTCTGAATTTGGATTGTTATTAAATATTTGACACAGCATAGGTTTCTGACACAGAAAGAATGTGGTCTAAGAACTTGATTTTTTTTAATTTACCTATTATGGTCCAATGTCCAAAATCAAAATACATGGTAAGATTCAGCATATCAAAGAACCCCATATATTCAATTTTTGTTAAAATCAAACAAAGTTTAATTTTGGACCCCAACTTGGACAAACTTGAAAACTGGGCCCATAATCAAAAATCTAAACACATGTTTAGATTCAGCATATCAAAGAACCCCAAGAATTCAATTTTTGCTAAAATCAAACTAAGTTTAATTTTGGACCCTTTATACCTTAATGTAGACCAATTTAAATAAAATGCTTCGCTGGGGCGCAGCTTGATACGACCGCAGAGGTCGAACCCTGAACAGTTGGGGCAAGTATGGACACAACATTCAAGCTTGATACAGCTCTGAATTTGGATTGTTATTAAATATTTGACACAGCATAGGTTTCTGACACAAAAAGAATGTGGTCTAAGAACTTGAATTTTTTTAATTTACCTATTATGGTCCAATGTCCAAAATCAAAATACATGGTTAGATTCAGCATATCAAAGAACCCCATATATTCAATTTTTGTTAAAATCAAACAAAGTTTAATTTTGGACCCCAACTTGGACAAACTTGAAAACTGGGCCCATAATCAAAAATCTAAACACATGTTTAGATTCAGCATATCAAAGAACCCCAAGAATTCAATTTTTGCTAAAATCAAACTAAGTTTAATTTTGGACCCTTTGGACCTTAATGTAGACCAATTTAAAAAACAGGACTTAAAATTAAAAATCTAAATACACGATTAGATTTGGAATATCAAAGAACCCCAATAATTCAATTTTTGATGAAATCAAACAAAGTTTAATTTTGGACCCTTTTGACCTCAATATGAACCAATTTGATAGCGGGGCCCACAAATAAAAAATCTAAATTCATGGTTAGATTCAGCATATCAAAGAACCCCATATATTCAATTTTTGTTGAAATAAAAAAAAGTTTAATTTTGGACCCCAACTTGGACCAACTTGAAAACTGGGCCCATAATCAAAAATCTAAACACATGTTTAGATTCAGCATATCAAAGAACCCCAAGAATTCAATTTTTGTTAAAATCAAACTAAGTTTAATTTTGGACCCTTTGGACCTCAATAAAGACCAATTTAAAAAACGGGACCCAACTTAAAAATCTAAAAACACGGTTAGATTTGGCATATCTAAGAACCCCAATAATTCAATTTTCGATGAAATCAAACAAAGTTTAATTTTGGACCCTTTTGACCTCAATATGAACCAATTTGATAGCAGGGCCTACAAATAAAAAATCTAAATACATGGTTAGATTCAGCATATCAAAGAACCTCATATATTCAATTTTTGTTGAAATCAAACAAAGTTTAATTTTGGACCCCAATTTGGACCAACTTGAAAACTGGGCCCTAATCAAAAATCTAAATACATGTTTAGATTCAGCATATCAAAGAACCCCATATATTCAATTTTTGTTAAAATCAAACAAAGTTTAAATACTGGACCCTATCTTGGACCAACTTGAAAACTGGGCCCATAATCAAAAATCTAAACACATGTTTAGATTCAGCAAATCAAAGAACCCCAAGAATTCAATTTTTGTTAAAATCAAACTAAGTTTAATTTTGGACCCTTTGGACCTCAATGTAGACCAATTTAAAAAACAGGACCCAAAATTAAAAACCTAAATACACGGTTAGATTTGGAATATCAAAGAACCCCAATAATTCAATTTTAGATGAAATCAAACAAAGTTTAATTTTGGACCCTTTTGACCTCAATATGAACCAATTAGATAACGGGGTCCACAAATAAAAAATCTAAATACATGGTTAGATTCAGCATATCAAAGAACCCCATATATTCAATTTTTGTTGAAATCAAACAAAGTTTAATTTTGGACCCCAATTTGGACCAACTTGAAAACTGGGCCAAAAATCAAAAAATCTAAATACATGTTTAGATTCAGCATATCAAAGAACCTCATATATTCAATTTTTGCTAAAATCAAACAAAGTTTAATTTTGGACCCTTTGGACATTAATGTAGACCAATTTGAAAACTGGACCCAAAATTAAAAATCTAAATACACTGTTAGATTCGGCATAACAAATAAATAAATGTGATCAAAGATTTTACAAATCTAATGCGCCATACTGTGCAATTAAAGATTACTTCTTGAAATTTTTCAATTCTGATATCTGAAATGAGAAAAAATTGACCCCCCACAATTTCTTTTTACCCCCCCCCCCCCTTTTTCCCCCAAAAAAATTCTTTCCCTCAAGATATGGTCATAATCTCAATTCAAATTTCCAATGGAGTTGGCAACCATAATTACCCATTTAAATTTACCATAGTGCTAACTTAATCTATTTTATAATAGAATTAATAAAAATATAGTGTCAAATCTTTCATATGGATTTTTTTGTAAAAAAAAAAGATGAAAACATTTGCAGATATTTTTACTGGTCTTCCTTTATAAATATGCATTTCTTTAAACATAATTTAAAAGCAGTGTAAGGGAAGTAACCAAAACGTTGTATTTGGATTACCTCCCTTACACTGTTTTAGATTATCTTTATTGTTCATTAACCATTACTTTATACATAATTTAAATGCAGTGTAAGGGAGATAATTTCAATGATGTATTTGATTTATCTCCCTTACACTGCTTTAAATTATGTTTTGTACTAAAGTATTTGTCCATTAACCAGGACAACCTTGTTTTTCCCCCTTTTTTGCCCCTAATTCCTTAACGGTTTGAGTCATAACCCCCAAAGCAAATCCTAACCATCCCTTTGTGGTATGGAAACTTGTAGTATAATTTCAGAGAGATCCATACACCGTTCCACAGTTATTGTCTGGAAACTAGAAAATGCTCATTTTTGGCCCCTTTTTGGCCCCTAATTCCTTAACTGTTGGTACCATAACCCCCAAAATCAATCCCAACCTTCCTTTTGTGGTATTTAACCTTATGGTAAAATTTCAAAAAGATCCATTCACTTAAACTAAAGTTAGAGTGCGAAAACCAATATGTATTCGGACGACGACGCCGGACGACGACAACGACGACGCCAACGTCATACCAATATACGACCACAAAATTTTTTTGCGGTCGTATAAAAACAGGACTTAAAATTAAAAATCTAAATACACGGTTAGATTTGGAATATCAAAGAACCCCAATAATTCAATTTTTGATGAAATCAAACAAAGTTTAATTTTGGACCCTTTTGACCTCAATATGAACCAGTTTGATAGCGGGGCCCACAAATAAAAAATCTAAATTCATGGTTACCGTAGAAAGGCTTGTATAGTCCGCGGTTTTATTCTCCAAAATTGGACCTTCCAGACGGGGTGGGGACTATAGAGTACAATAAGCAAGAAATAAGAGAAAAATTTCAATTTCGCATGCGAGGTGGTTTGTTTACGTTCTGCCATCTTTGTTATTTATATTGTAGAGGGCGTTCTTATCATTTTTCAAACTAATAATTTTAACTCATCCATATTAATAAGTTATTTCTATTCAATATCAAATTAATACTGATAAATATAAAAACTAAACCTTTCATTACAAATTTCTCGTTTCTTTTCAATGCATTGGTTGAAATAAACTGGTATCTGCTTGATTGAAACGATACAAACATAGTGAAAAAGACAACCGTAAACCAGCTTAGAATTTGTAAACTACAAAACGTAATCGGTTATTGTTCGTTCCGTTTTGGTGTTTTATACCGACTAATATGGTTTGTATTAGCTTAAGACCCTTCAAACATTAATGTGATAGATATATTAAAGACTGTTCTACAAAAGGATGGAACTGTTTTACTTTCAAAGTCATATTATAGTGATATCTGTTATGTACGGATTTCGACTCTCACCGGTTAGTTTCTTCTTTTACACGTGCTTTTCAAACTTCCTGTTTAAACATACACAAGTTTCTAAATTGTTTTTTAAGTGAATTAAACTTATTTTAACAATCATGAAGCGTTCTAGAATCATTTACAAGCAGTTTCAGCTTCTGTTTGATGATGGAAAACAGGTTTTCCCAAGATAATACCGCAAACGACCGCACAGGATTTGAAATTACCGGAGTTTCATTAGACCTTTTCTAACAGTTACAAAAAGTTTTTTTACCTAAAATTTCGTGGGGAGAAGGGGGTGCGGACTATGTACCAGTGCGAACTATACAAGCCTTTCTACGGTAGATTCAGCATATCAAAGAACCCCATATATTCAATTTTTGTTGAAATCAAAAAAAGTTTAATTTTGGACCCCAACTTGGACCAACTTGAAAACTGACCCATAATCAAAAATCTAAACACATGTTTAGATTCAGCATATCAAAGAACCCCAAAAATTCAATTTTTGATGAAAACAAACAAAGTTTAATTTTGGACCCTTTTGACCTCAATATGAACCAATTTGATAGCGGGGCCCACAAATAAAAAATCTAAATAAATGGTTAGATTCAGCATATCAAAGAACCTCATATATTCAATTTTTGTTGAAATCAAACAAAGTTTAATTTTGGACCCCAATTTGGACCAACTTGAAAACTGGGCCCATAATCAAAAATCTAAATACATGTCTAGATTCAGCATATCAAAGAACCCCATATATTCAATTTTTGTTGAAATCAAACAAAGTTTAAATACTGGACCCTATCTTGAACCAACTTAAAAACTGGGCCCATAATCAAAAATCTAAACACATGTTTAGATTCAGCATATCAAAGAACCCCAAGAATACAATTTTTGTTAAAATCAAACTAAGTTTAATTTTGGCCCTTTGGACCTTAATGTAGACCAATTAAAATAAAATGCTTCGCTGGGGCGCAGCTTGATACGACCGCAGAGGTCCAACCCTGAACAGTTGGGGCAAGTATGGACACAACATTCAAGCTTGATACAGCTCTGAATTTGGATTGTTATTAAATATTTGACACAGCATAGGTTTCTGACACAGAAAGAATGTAGTCTAAGAACTTGAATTTTTTTAATTTACCTATTATGGTCCAATGTCCAAAATCAAAATACATGGTTAGATTCAGCATATCAAAGAACCCCATATATTCAATTTTTGTTAAAATCAAACAAAGTTTAATTTTGGACCCCAATTTGGACAAACTTGAAAACTGGGCCCATAATCAAAAATCTAAACACATGTTTAGATTCAGCATATCAAAGAACCCCAAGAATTCAATTTTTGCTAAAATCAAACTAAGTTTAATTTTGGACCCTTTGGACCTTAATGTAGACCAATTTAAAAAACGGGACTTAAAATTAAAAATCTAAATACACGGTTAGATTTGGAATATCAAAGAACCCCAATAATTCAATTTTTGATGAAATCAAACAAAGTTTAATTTTGGACCCTTTTGACCTCAATATGAACCAATTTGATAGCGGGGCCCACAAATAAAAAATCTAAATTCATGGTTAGATTCAGCATATCAAAGAACCCCATATATTCAATTTTTGTTGAAATCAAAAAAAGTTTAATTTTGGACCCCAACTTGGACCAACTTAAAAACTGGGCCCATAATCAAAAATCTAAACACATGTTTAGATTCAGCATATCAAAGAACCCCAAGAATTCAATTTTTGTTAAAATCAAACTAAGTTTAATTTTGGACCCTTTGGACCTCAATGAAGACCAATTTAAAAAACGGGACCCAAATTAAAAATCTAAAAACACGGTTAGATTTGGCATATCAAACAACCCCAATAATTCAATTTTCGATGAAATCAAACAAAGTTTAATTTTGGACACTTTTGACCTCAATATGAACCAATTTGATAGCGGGGCCCACAAATAAAAAATCTAAATACATGGTTAGATTCAGCATATCAAAGAACCTCATATATTCAATTTTTGTTGAAATCAAACAAAGTTTAATTTTGGACCCCAATTTGGACCAACTTGAAAACTGGGCCCATAATCAAAAATCTAAATACATGTTTAGATTCAGCATATCAAAGAACCCCATATATTCAATTTTTGTTGAAATCAAACAAAGTTTAAATACTGGACCCTATCTTGGACCAACTTGAAAACTGGGCCCATAATCAAAAATCTAAACACATGTTTAGATTCAGCAAATCAAAGAACCCCAAGAATTCAATTTTTGTCAAAATCAAACTAAGTTTAATTTTGGACCCTTTGGACCTCAATGTAGACCAATTTAAAAAACAGGACCCAAAATTAAAAACCTAAATACACGATTAGATTTGGAATATCAAAGAACCCCAATAATTCAATTTTAGATGAAATCAAACAAAGATTAATTTTGGACCCTTTTGACCTCAATATGAACTAATTAGATAACGGGGTCCACAAATAAAAAATCTAAATACATGGTTAGATTCAGCATATCAAAGAACCTCATATATTCAATTTTTGTTGAAATCAAACAAAGTTTAATTTTGGACCCCAATTTGGACCAACTTGAAAACTGGGCCAAAAATCAAAAATCTAAATACATGTTTAGATTCAGCATATCAAAGAACCTCATATATTCAATTTTTGCAATATCAAACATAGTTTAATTTTGGACCCTTTGGACATTAATGTAGACCAATTTGAAAACTGGACCCAATATTAAAAATCTAAATACACTGTTAGATTCGGCATAACAAATAAATAAATGTGATCAAAGATTTTACAAATCTAATGCGCCATACTGTGCAATTAAAGATTACTTCTTGAAATTTTTCAATATTTGAAATTTGAAAAAAAAATAATATTTGAAGAATAATTCTTTTTAATTTCTGAAATCTGAAATGAGAAAAAATTGGCCCCCCACAATTTCTTTTTATCCCCCCCCCTTTTTCCCCCAAAAAAATTCTTTCCCTCAAGATATGGTCATAATCTCAATTCAAATTTCCAATGGAGTTGGCAACCATAATTACCCATTTAAATTTACCATAGTGCTAACTTAATCTATTTTATAATAGAATTAATAAAAATATAGTGTCAAATCTTTCATATGGATTTTTTTGTAAAAAAAAAAGATGAAAACATTTGCAGATATTTTTACTGGTCTTCCTTTATAAATATGCATTTCTTTAAACATAATTTAGAAGCAGTGTAAGGGAAGTAACCAAAACGTTGTATTTGGATTACCTCCCTTACACTGTTTTAGATTATCTTTATTGTTCATTAACCATTACTTTATACATAATTTAAAAGCAGTGTAAGGGAGATAATTTCAATGATGTATTTGATTTATCTCCCTTACACTGTTAAATTATGTTTAGTACTAAAGTATTTGTCCATTAACCAGGACAACCTTGTTTTTCCCCCTTTTTTGCCCCTAATTCCTAAACGGTTTGAGCCATAACCCCCCTAAAGCAAATCCTAACCATCCCTTTGTGGTATGGAAACTTGTAGTATAATTTCAGAGAGATCCATACACCGTTCCACAGTTATTGTCTGGAAACTAGAAAATGCTCATTTTTGGCCCCTTTTTGACCCCTAATTCCTTAACTGTTGGTACCATAACCCCCAAAATCAATCCCAACCTTCCTTTTGTGGTATTTAACCTTATGGTCAAATTTCAAAAAGATCCATTCACTTAAACTAAAGTTAGAGTGCGAAAACCAATATGTATTCGGACGACGACGCCGGACGACGACGACGACGCCGGACGACGACGACGACGACGACGACGACGACGCCAACGTCATACCAATATACGACCACAAAATTTTTTTGCGGTCGTATAAAAACAGGACCCAAAATTAAAAATCTAAATACACGGTTAGATTTGGAATATCAAAGAACCCCAATAATTCAATTTTAGATGAAATCAAACAAAGTTTAATTTTGGATCCTTTTGACCTCAATATGAACCAAACACATGTTTAGATTCAGCATATCAAAGAACCCCAAGAATTCAATTTTTGTTAAAATCAAACTAAGTTTAATTTTGAACCCTTTGGACCTTAATGTAGACCAATTTAAATAAACTGCTCCGCTGAGCGCAGCTAGATACGCCCGCAGAGGTCCAACCCTGAACAGTTGGGGCAAAAATGGACACAATATTCAAGCTTGATACAGGTTTGAATTTGGATTGTAATTAAATATTTGACATATTATAGGTTTCTGAATAAATGTAGTCAAAGAACTTGAAATTGGTTATATGAATTGAATTTATATTATATTAGATTTCTTGCTGTTGTACAATACACTGTGTTGTTGTGCAATTCACTGTGCTGTTGCGCGATACTTAGTAAATCTGTTGTCAGACTATAAACAAATAAAATCTTATAACAAGGAAACGTAAAATCGAAAATTTATAAAAATCAAAAGGGAGCTTACATCAATAGATATAAACAATTTACCAAAGTTTCATAAAAAATGCTTACAGCATTTTTGAGTTATTGTCTGAAAACTGGAAAATCCCCCTTTTTGTAATGAAAAAAAAACCCATAAATCGAAAATGTATAGTCTAAAATTTATAAAAATCAAAAGGGAGCTCATGTCGATAGAAATAAACAATTCACCAAAGTTTCTTGCAAATTGGTGAAATTGTTTTTGAGTTATTGTCCGAAAACTGGAAAATCCCCCCTTTTTTAATGAATAAAACCCAAAAACTCGGAAACGGTACATCTGAAATTTATAAAAAACGAAAGGGAGCTCATGTCAATAGATATACACAATTCACAAAAGTTTCATGCAAATTGGTGAAATTGTTTTCGAGTTATTGTCCGAAAACTAGAAAATCCCCCCTTTTTTAATGAATAAAACCCCAAAACTCAAAAACGGTAAATCCGAAATTTATTAAAAACGAAAGGGAGCTCACATCAATAGATATAAACAATTTCCCAAAGTTTTATGCATATTGGTTAAAGTGTTTTTGAATTAATGTCCGACATGTTGATGACGGACGGACGGACAGACGGACGGACAACGGTATACCATAATACGTCCCGTATACGGGCGTATAAAAACAGGACCCAAAATTAAAAATCTAAATACACGGTTAGATTTGGCATATCAAAGAACCCCAATAATTCAATTTTTGATGTATTCAAACGAAGTTTAATATTGGACCCTTTTGACCGCAATATGAACCAATTTGATAGGAGGGTCCACAAATAAAAAATCTAAATACATGGTTAGATTCAGCATATCAAAGAACCCCATATATTCAATTTTTGTTGAAATCAAACAAAGTTTAATTTTGGACCCCAATTTGGACCAACTTGAAAACTGGGCCAAAAATCAAAAATCTAAATATATGTTTAGATTCAGCATATCAAAGAAAACCATATATATTTAATTTTTGTTAAAATCAAACAAAGTTTAATTTTGGACCCTTTGGACCTTAATGTAGACCAATTTGAAAACTGGACCCAAAATTAAAAATCTAAATACACAGTTAGATTCGGCATAACAAATAAATAAATGTGGTCAAAGATTTTACAAATCTAATGCGCCATACTGTGCAATTAAAGATTACTTCTTGAAATTTTTCAATATTTGAAATTTGAAAAAAAAATAATATTTGAAGAATAATTCTTTTTAATTTCTGAAATCTGAAATGAGAAAAAATTGAACCCCCCCCCCTTTTTCCCCCAAAAAATTCTTTCCCTCAAGATATGGTCATAATCTCAATTCAAATTTCCAATGGAGTTTGCAACCATAATTACCCATTTAAATTTACCATAGTGCTAACTTAATCTATTTTATAATAGAATTTAAAATATAGTGTCAAATCTTTCATATGGTTTTTTTTGTAAAAAAAAAGATGCAACTTTTGCAGATATTTTTACTGGTCTTCCTTTATAAATATGCATTTCTTTAAACATACTTTAAAAGCAGTGTAAGGGAAGTAACCAAAATGTTGTATTTGGATTACCTCCCTTACACTGTTTTAAATTATCTTAATTGTTCATTAACCATTACTTTATACATAATTTAAAAGCAGTGTAAGGGAGGTAATTTCAATGATGTATTTGATTTATCTCCCTTAAACTGCTTTAAATTATGTTTTGTACTAAAGTATTTGTCCATTAACCAGGACAACCTTGTTTTTCCCCCTTTTTTGCCCCTAATTCCTAAACGGTTTGAGCCATAACCCCCCAAAGCAAATCCTAACCATCCCTTTGTGGTATGGAAACTTGTAGTATAATTTCAGAGAGATCCATACACCGTTCCACAGTTATTGTTTGGAAACTAGAAAATACTTATTTTTGGCCCCTTTTTGGCCCCTAATTCCTTAACTGTTGGTACCATAACCCCCAAAATCAATCCCAACCTACCTTATGTGGTATTTAACTTTATGGTAAAATTTCAAAGAGATCCATTCACTTAAACTAAAGTTAGAGTGGGAAAACCAATGTGTCTTCGGACGACAACGATGACCCCAACGTCATACAAATATACGACCGCAAAAAATAATAAAATGCTCCGCAGGGCGCAGCTTGATATGACCGCAGAGGTCGAACCCTGAACAGTTGGAGCAAGTATGGACACAACATTCAAGCTTGATACAGCTTTGCATTTGGATTGTGATTAAATATTTGACACAGCATAGGTTTCTGACACAGAATGAATGTGGTCTAAGAACTTAAAAATTTTAAATTGGACATTCACCTATTATGGTCCAATATCCAAAATCTAAATACATGGTTAGATTCAGCATATCAAAGAACCCCAAGAATTCAATTTTTGATGAAATCAAACAAAGTTTAATTTTGGACCCTTTTGACCTCAATGTGGACAAAGTTGATAACGGGGCCCAAAAATCAAAAATCTAAATACATGGTTAGATTCAGCATATCAAAGAACCCCATATATTCAATTTTTGTTGAAATCAAACAAAGTTTAATTTTGGACCCCGATTTGGACCAACTTGAAAACTGGCCCATAATCAAAAATCTAAATACATGTTTAGATTCAGCATATCAAAGAACCCCAAGAATTCAATTTTTGTTAAAATCAAACTAAGTTTAATTTTGGACCCTTTGGACCTTAATGTAGACCAATTTGAAAACGGAACCAAAAATTAAGAATCTAAATCAAGGCTTCCTAAACGGTCATATATTCCGGACATTTGTATAATGTCCGGTAAAAGTCCGGCTGGGCAAAGCATGAAACGGTCATCTACTTTTAAGTTTTCAAGGCTTTCTTAAGAGACGGTCATTTTAACATAATTCGCGATCTTTTTGACCCAACCTTTTGCCTTTAACAGCCACACATTTCCGGTCATAAAAGTGACATGATCATTAAGTACTATCAAAACAACCCCTACTTTAATACCTTCTCATTTTAATCAAGGCTAATTAGTTGTCGAACAGCTGAAATTTACCTGTTCAGGTGACAGGTAAACTATTTTGAACCGGACATTGATCGGTCTATTCAAAGTTATTTTCTTACATTTCAGCGGTTTGCATCTAACTAATTTAGTCAAAAAGATTTAAATTATCAGAAATACGTTTACAAATATGATTTGATGAAAAAATTTAAAAGGTGAAAATGAAAAATCGTCATAACCACGTTGTTTGATCAGAGACATGTCTCTGTTTGAACTAGTACACGTGTGCGCAGGTGTGAAATTTAGTTATGCATCCTAATTTCCTCAAAAAATGCTTAAATTGTCATTGATACCTTTCTCTCATGTTTATTTCGAATATTTTCTTGAAGAAATAACGTAGAAAGAGCTACGTACGCTCATTCATGCTTTGCACACGTACACGGAATTTACGTATCCGTCTCTGGTCCATGTTTTACCGTTGTCAAGATAAGATCCGGTATAAGATTTTAACGAATGTAAAGTTTTTGACAACGTTATTTTGCACAAATAAAGACTCTAAGGCAAATATAAGTACGCTGATGTTGCACACTTCGAATGATGCACTGCCAATTTAACAGTTTACGTCAGAACTTCGAATTTGAATCAAAAAAAGTTTAATATCGTTTTTTTTTAATGTCAATCATTGCAGGAACATATATATAGATATACTTTTCCCAGATCATTGATATGGCCAACTCAGCAACTGAATACCATAATTGCCTTTTGTTTATTTACTCTTAAGGGATTAAAATCGGGATAATATATAAAATGTCCGGCTGGCTAAAAATAATTTTGGGAGCCCTGATCTAAATACACGGTTAGATTCGGCATATCAAAGAACCCCAATAATTCAATTTTTGATAAAATCAAACAAAGTTTAATTTTGGACCCTTTGGACCTCAATGTGGACCAATTTAAAAATGGGCCCCAAAATCCAATAAAATGCTCCGCAGGGCACAGCTTGATACGACCGCAGAGGTCGAACCCTGAACAGTTGGGGCAAGTATGGATACAACATTCAAGCTTGATACAGCTTTGCATTTGGATTGTGATTAAATATTTGACACAGCATAGGTTTCTGACACAGAATGAATGTGGTCTAAGAACTTAAAAATTTTAAATTGGAAATTCACCTATTATGGTCCAATATCCAAAATCTAAATACATGGTTAGATTCAGCATATCAAAGAACCCCAAGAATTCAATTTTTGATGAAATCAAACAAAGTTTAATTTTGGACCCTTTTGACCTCAATGTGGACAAAGTTGATAACGGGGCCCAAAAATCAAAAATCTAAATACATGGTTAGATTCAGCATATCAAAGAACCCCATATATTCAATTTTTGTTGAAATCAAACAAAGTTTAATTTTGGACCCCGATTTGGACCAACTTGAAAACTGGGCCCATAATCAAAAATCTAAATACATGTTTAGATTCAGCATATCAAAGAACCCTAAGAATTCAATTTTTGTTAAAATCAAACTAAGTTTAATTTTGGACCCTTTGGACATTAATGTAGACCAATTTGAAAACGGAACCAAAAATTAAGAATCTAAATACACGGTTAGATTCGGCATATCAAAGAACCCCAATAATTCAATTTTTGATGAAATCAAACAAAGTTAAATTTTGGACCCTTTGGACCTCAATGTGGACCAATTTAAAAATGGGGCCCAAAATCCAAAAACTGAATACCCGGTTAGATTCAGCATATTAAAGAACCCCAAGAATTCAAGAATAAAACCCCATTGAAATTGGTCAACAAATAAACAATTTATACGAAGTATCTTCTTTTGCACAATACTGTGCAATTAAATATTTCTTGCTATTGTGCAATACTGTACAATTGACAATTTCTTGCTATTGCGCAATATTGTGCTATTTGATATTTCTTGCTATTGCGCAATACGGTGCAATTGAAGATTTCTTGCTATTGCGCAATACTGTGCAATTGAAGATTTCTTGCTATTGTGCAATACTGTGCAATTGAAAATTTCTTGCTATTGCACAATACTTATTATATAATAATTTACACATCCTGTTTGGTGTGTATCTCCTACCATATCATTATTATTTGCTTATAAATATAAATCAGAAATAACCAACTTAAAATGGAAAATTTTAAAAGAAAAAAAAAAGGAAAAAAAGAAAAAAAAGGAAAAAAAAAAAAAATCCCCCACCCCCAATTTTTTGAACATCTTATGATTCATCACCCCCAAACTTAATCCCAGCCTTCCCTTTGTGGTATGGTACCTTGCAGTACAATTTCAGAGAGATCCATACACTTGAACACAAGTTATTGTCTGGAAACTAGGAAAATGTGTTTTTTGGCCCCTTTTTGGCCCCAAATTCCTAAACGTTTAGGGCAATTACCCCAAAACTCAAACCCAGCTTTCCCTTTGTGACATGGAACCTTGTAGTACAATTTCAGAAAGATCCATACACTAACACACAAGTTATTGTCCTGAAACTAGAAAAATGCTTGTTTTTTGCCCCTTTTTGGCCCCTAATTCCTAAAATATTGAGGCAATTACCCCCATCATCAATCCCAGCATTCCCTTTGTGGTATGGTACATTGCAGTACAATTTCAGAGAGATCCATACACTTGAACACAAGTTATTGTCTGGAAACTAGAAAAATGCTTATTTTTGGCCCCTTCTTGGCCCCCAATTCCTAAACGTTTCGGCAATTACCCCCAAACTCAATTCCAGCTTTCCCTTTGTGATATGGAACCTTGTAGTACAATTTCAGAAAGATCCATACACTTACACACAAGTTATTGTCATGAAACTAGAAAAATGCTTGTTTTTTGCCCCTTTTTGGCCCCTAATTCCTAAAATTTTGAGGCAATTACCCCCAAAATCAATCCCAGCATTCCTTTTGTGATATGGAACCTTGTGGTACAATGTCAGAGAGATCCATACACTAACACACAAGTTATGTCTGGAAGTTACAAAAATGATTATTTTTGGCCCCTTTTTGGCCCCTAATTCCTTTACTGTTGGTACCATAACCCCCAAAATCAATCCCAACCTTCCTTTTGTGGTATTGAACCTTATGGTTAAATTTCATAGAGATCCATTCACTTAAACTAAAGTTAGAGTGCGAAAACCAATGTGTCTTCGGACGACGCCGGACAACGCCAGGCGACGACGACGACGACGCCGCCAACGTCATACCAATATACAACCACAAAAATTTTTTTGCGGTCGTATAAAAACTAAATACACGGTTAGATTCAGCATATTAAAGAACCCTAAGAATTCAAGAATAAAACCCCATTGAAATTGGTCAAGAAATAAGCAATTTATACGAAGTATCTCCTTTTGCACAATACTGTGCAATTAAATATTTCTTGCTATTGTGCAATACTGTACAATTGACAATTTCTTGCTATTGCGCAATATTGTGCAATTGGATATTTCTTGCTATTGCGCAATACTGTGCAATTGAAGATTTCTTGCTATTGCCCAATACTGTGCAATTGAAGATTTCTTGCTATTGTGCAATACTGTGCAATTGAAAATTTCTTGCTATTGCACAATACTTATTATATAATAATTTACACATCCTGTTTGGTGTGTATCTCCTACCATATCATTATTATTTGCTTTTAAATATAAATTAGAAATAACCAACTTAAAATGGAAAATTTTAAAAGAAAAAAAAAAGGAAACCCTCCCCCCCCCCCAAATTTTTTGAACCCCCTTATGATTCATCACCCCCAAACTCAATCCCAGCCTTCCTTTTGTGGTATGGTACCTTCCAGTACAATTTCAGAGAGATCCATACACTTGAACACAAGTTATTGTCTGGAAACTAGAAAAATGTGTTTTTTGGCCCCTTTTTGGCCCCAAATTCCTAAATGTTTAGGGCAATTACCCCCAAACTCAAACACAGCTTTCCCTTTGTGATATGGAACCTTGTAGTACAATTTCAGAAAGATCCATACACTTACACACAAGTTATTGGCCTGAAACTAGACAAATGCTTGTTTTTTGCCCCTTTTTGGCCCCTTTTTCCTAAAATATTGAGGCAATTACCCCCAAAATCAATCCCAGCCTTCCCTTTGTGGTATGGTACCTTGCAGTACAATTTCAGAGAGATCCATACACTTGAACACAAGTTATTGTCTGGAAACTAGAAAAATGCTTATTTTTGGCCCCTTTTTGGCCCCCAATTCCTAAACGTTTCGGCAATTACCCCCAAACTCAATTCCAGCTTTCCCTTTGTGATATGGAACCTTGCAGTACAATTTCAGAAAGATCCATACACTTACACACAAGTTATTGTCATGAAACTAGAGAAATGCTTGTTTTTTCCCCCTTTTTTGGCCCCTAATTCCTAAAATTTTGAGGCAATTACCCCAAAAATCAATCCCAGCATTCCTTTTGTGATATGGAACCTTGTGGTACAATGTCAGAGAGATCCATACACTAACACACATGTTATGTCTGGAAGTTACAAAAATGCTTATTTTTGGCCCCTTTTTGGCCCCTTATTCCTTTACTGTTGGTACCATAACCCCCAAAATCAATCCCAACCTTCCTTTTGTGGAATGAACCTTGTGGTAAAATTTCATAGAGATCCATTCACTTAAACTAAAGTTAGAGTGCGAATACCAATGTGTCTTCGGACGACGTCAGACGACTACGACGACGACGACGACCACGACGACGCCAACGTCATACCAATATACGACCACAAAAATTTTTTTGAGGTCGTATAAATTTACAAAATTAATGAAAATTGTAAAAAATTGACTATAAAGGACAATAACTCCTTAAGGGGTCAATTGACAATTTTGGTCATGTTGACTTATTTGTAGACCTTACTTTGCTGTACATTATTGCTGTTTACAGTTTATCTCTATCTATAATAATATTCAAGATAATAACCAAAAGCTGCAAAATTTTCTTAAAATTACCAAATCAGGGGCAGCAACCCAACAACATGTTGCCTGATTGGTCTGAAAATTTCAGGGCAGATAGATCTTGACCTAATGAACAATTTTACCCTGTGTCAGATTTGCTCTAAATGCTTTGGTTTCGGAGATATGAGCCAAAAACTGCATTTTACCCTATGTACTATTTTTTAGCCATGTCGGCCATCTTGATTCGCGGGCGGGGTCATCAGACACATTTTTTTAACTAGATACTCTAATGATGATTGTGGACAAGTTTGGTTAAATTTGTCTCAGTAGTTTCAGAGGAGAAGATTTTTGTAAAAGATTACAAAAACTTACGAAAAATGGTTAAAAATTGACTATAAAGGGCAATAACTCCTTAAGGGGTCAACTGACCATTTTGGTCAAGTTGACTTATTTGTAGATCTTACTTTGTTGAACATTATTGCTGTTTACAGTTTATCTCTATCTATAATAATATTCAAGATAATAACCAATAAAATGCTTCGCTGGGCACAGCTTGATACGACCGCAGAGGTCGTACCCTGAACAGTTGGGGGCAAGTATGGACACAACATTCAAGCTTGATACAGGTCTGAAATTTGGATTGTGATTAAATATTTGACACAGCATAGGTTTCTGACACAGAAAGAATGTGGTCTAAGAACTTGAATTTTTTCAATTTACCTATTATGGTCCAATGTCCAAAATCAAAATACATGGTTAGATTCAGCATATCAAAGAACCCCATATATTCAATTTTTGTTGAAATCAAACAAAGTTTAATTTTGGACCCCAACTTGGACAAACTTGCAAACTGGGCCCATAATCAAAAATCTAAAACATGTTTTTTTGATGAAATCAAACAAAGTTTAATTTTGGACCCTTTGGACCTTAGTGTAGACCAATTTAAATAAACTGCTTCGCTGAGCGCAGCTGGATACGCCCGCAGAGGTCCAACCCTGAACAGTTGGGGCATAAATGGACACAATATTCAAGCTTGATACAGGTCTGAATTTGGATTGTATTAAATATTTTATGACATATTATAGGTTTCTGAATAAATGTAGTCAAAGAACTTGAAATTGGTTATATGAATTGAATTTATATTCAATTAAAGATTTCTTGCTGTTGCGCAATACTTAGTAAATCTGTTGTCAGACTATAAACAAATAAAGTTCATTTAATTCTCAATGTCATATTAGAAATTTATGAAAATGTAAAGGGAGCTTACATCAATAGATATAAACAATTCACCAAAGTTTCATGAGAATTGCTGACAGCATTTTTGAGTTGTTGTCCTAAAACTGGAAAATCCCCCCTTTTTTAATGAATAAAACCCCAAAACTCAGAAATGTAAAATGTAAAATTTATAAAATTCTAAACGGAACTTACATCAATAGATATAAACAATTCACCAAAGTTTCATACAAACTGCTGAAAGCATTTTTGATTTTTTGTCCGAAAACTCGAAAATACCCCTTTTTTTATGAATAAAACCCTGTAACTCGGAAACGTAAAATCTAAAATATATAAAAATCGAAAGGGAGCTCATGTTAATAGATATAAACAATTCATCACAATTTCTTGCAAGTTGGCGAAAGCATTGTTGAGTTATTGTCCGAAAACTGGAAAACCCCCCTTTTTTTAATGAATAAAACCCCGTAACTCGGAAACATAATATCTAAAATTTATAAAAAACGAAAGGGAGCTCACATCAATAGATAAAAACAACTCACCAAAGTTTTATGCAAATTGGTTAAAGTGTTTTTGAGTTAATGTCCGACATGTTGACGACGGACGGACAGACGGACAGACGGACGGACGGACGACCAGACGGACAGACGGACAAGGGTATACCATAATACGTCCCGTAAACGGGCGTATAAAAACGGGACTCAAAATTAAAAATCTAAATTCACGGTTAGATTTGGAATATCAAAGATCCCCAATAATTCAATGTTTGATGAAATCAAACAAATACAGCACTAGAGACTTAATTGTTTCTTAAAACTTATCAAATAATAAACTCAATAAATGTGGATAGTGTCCACATGTGGACACAGATGATACCCCCGCTTGCATATCATATAGTTATAAAGGGACATAACTGAAGAACGGTAAAAGTGACACGACCCAAATTTGAACTTGATCTGAGTTTTGTGGTAATAAGCATTGTGTGTAAGTCTCATAACATTTGGTTGAGGCTAACTTAAGTAGAGAACAGAAACTAAAAATTCAGCAATTTTTCTATTTGTAATGATGCATAACTCTAGAACGGTTGTGTATAAGTTTTACAACATTTGGATGAGACAAACTAAAAAATTCAGCAATTTTTATGTTTATAATGGGACATAACTCTAGAATGGTAAAAGTGTTGCCACCTAATTTCGTACTTAATCTGTATTATGTAGTAATTAGCATTGTGTATAAGTTTCATAACATTTGGTTGAGGCAAACTCAAGTTAGAGAACTGAAACAAAAAAAATGTACTTGATCTTTACTGAGTTTTGTTGGAATGAATATTGTGTATAGGTTTCACAATCTTTGGCTGGGGAAAACTTCAGTTACAGAATGGAAACTAAAAAATTTTGCAATCTTTCTATTTATAAAGGGGCATAACTCAATAATGGTTAAAGTGACACTACCCAAATTCAACTTGATCTGTGTTTTATCAGTGGTAGTCAAAATTAAACATTGCATTGTATAAAGCATTGATTGTAGTTGATTCAACTATAATCATGGTCAAAGGAAGATAACTCCAATTTTAAAAATATATTATATAAACTTGATATTTAGAAGAAAATAAAAATTTTGCAATTTTTCCTTTTATAAAGGGGCATAACTCTAGATCGGTTAAAGTGACACCACCAAAATTCAAACTTGATCTGTGTTTTGTGGTAATAAGCATTGTGTATAAGTTTCATAACATTTGGTTGAGGCAAACTTAAGTTAGAGAACGGAAACTAAAAATTATGCAATATTTCCTTTTATAAAGGGGCATAACTCTAGATCGGTTAAAGTGACGCCACCAAAATTCAAACTTGATCTGTGTTTTGTGGTAATAAGCATTGTGTATAAGTTTCATTACATTTGGTTGAGGCAAACTCAAGTTAGAGAACGGAAACCAATTTCGGGACGTACGTACGTACAGACGGACAAGGGTAAAACTTAATGCCCCCTCCGGTACGGCGGGGGCATAAAAATGGCAGATTCAGAAGCAAGGCTTATAGGAAGTACACCTAGCTTTAATTGGAAATTTTGTTCTGCAAACTGACTTGAACAGGTCAAATTATGTTCTGACAAATTGACTTAAACAGGTCAAATCATGTTCTGACTTTAAAAAATCAGTCAAAAACTAAATTTATTGAAATTTTTAAGTCAGGCATTGCCATATGATATTAATGATACATGCGTATGTATGGAAAAGTCAGATAAAATACACACGAAATACATGCAAGATCCTCTAAGATAAATAACCATTTGACTTAATTGTTTCTTAAAACTTATCAATTAATTAACTCAACAGTGGCAGATTCAGAAAGAGACTAAGAGGAAGAACACCTAGCTTTGATTGGAAATTTTGTTCTGCAAACTGACTCAAACAGGTCAAATCATGTTCTGACTTATAAGAGTCTGTCAAACACTAAATGGATTGCAACTGTAACAGTCGGACATTGCCATGATTGTGATGTGATTGTTAGAATGTATGGATACAAGTAGGAAAAAAGATCACAAAAATTAAGTCACAATTATTAGAACTATATAAAAGTTTATTTGGTATATATTTGATCTCTTAATATTTCATTGGTAAATCCTGTTGTGCAAACTGACTTGAACAAGTCACATTATGTTCTGACTTCAAAGAGTCAGTCATAAACTATACTTTTACTAATTATTGCAACTTTTAAGTCTGGAATTGTCATATGCATTTAAGAATGTATGGGAAAATCAGATAAAAGACACCAAATAATAAAGTCACAATAATGAGGACTATAAAAAAAGTTTATTTGGTATATTTAATATTCAAATGTATTTTGTTTACAAATTTCATCAAATTATCGTAAAATTTTATTCTATTTCTGTATTTTCATGACTTTTTTTTCTGTTAAGTTAACATATGGAACTTTTGGTTGAAAAAAATATTATTTTAAAAACCATTTGACTGAATTGTTTCTAAAAAAACTTATCAATTATTCAACTCAACAGTAGCAGATTCAGATTAGGGGGGGGGGGGGGGGGGCTTAGAGGAAAAGACCTAGTTTAGATTGGAAATTTTGTCTGTAAACTGACTTGAACAGGTCTTATCATTTTCTGACTTCAAAGAGTCAAACAAAACTAAACTTATTACAACTTTTAAGTCTAGTATGGTCATATTGATTTAATAAAATGCTCCGCAGGGTGCAGCTTGATACGACCGCAGAGGTCGAACCCTGAACAGTTGGGGCAAGTATGGATACAACATTCAAGCTTGATACAGCTCTGAATTTGGATTGTGATTAAATATTTGACACAGCATAGGTTTCTGACACAGAATGAATGTGGTCTAAGAACTTAAAAAAATTTTAAATTGGACATTCACCTATTATGGTCCAATATCCAAAATCTAAATACATGGTTAGATTCAGCATATCAAAGAACCCCAAGAATTCAATTTTTGATAAAATCAAACAAAGTTTAATTTTGGACCCTTTTGACCTCAATGTGGACAAAGTTGATAACATGGCCCAAAAATCAAAAATCTAAATACATGGTTAGATGCAGCATATCAAAGAACCCCATATATTCAATTTTTGTTGAAATCAAAAAAAGTTTAATTTTGGACCCGATTTGGACCAACTTGAAAACTGGGCCCATAATCAAAAATCTAAATACATGTTTAGATTCAGCATATCAAAGAACCCTAAAAATTCAATTTTTGTTAAAATCAAACTAAGTTTAATTTTGGACCCTTTGGACCTTAATGTAGACCAATTTGAAAACGGAACCAAAAATTAAGAATCTAAATACACGGTTAGATTCGGCATATCAAAGAACCCCAATAATTCAATTTTTGATGAAATCAAACAAAGTTAAATTTTGGACCCTTTGGACCTCAATGTGGACCAATTTAAAAATGGGGCCCAAAATCCCAAAACTTAATACACGGTTAGATTCAGCATATTAAAGAACCCCAAGAATTCAAGAATAAAACCCCATTGAAATTGATCAAGAAATAAGCAATTTATACAAGGTATCTTCTTTTGCACAATACTGTGCAATTGAATATTTCTTGCTATTGCGCAATACTGTACAATTGACAATTTCTTGCTATTGCGCAATATTGTGCTATTGGATATTTCTTGCTATTGCGCAATACGGTGCAATTGAAGATTTCTTGCTATTGCGCAATACTGTGCAATTGAAGATTTCTTGCTATTGTGCAATACTGTGCAATTGAAAATTTCTTGCTATTGCACAATACTTATTATATAATAATTTACACATCCTGTTTGGTGTGTATCTCCTACTATATCATTATTATTTGCTTTTAAATATTAATCAGAAATAACCAACTTAAAATGGAAAATTTTAAAAGAAAAAAAAAAGGAAAAAAAAAAAAAACAAAAAAGAAAAACAAAAAATCCCCCCTCCCAAATTTTTTGAACCCCCTTATGATTCATCACCCCCAAACTCAATACCAGCCTTCCCTTTGTGGTATGGTACCTTGCAGTACAATTTCAGAGAGATCCATACACTTGAACACAAGTTATTGTCTGGAAACTAGAAAAATGCTTATTTTTGGCCCCTTTTTGGCCCCCAATTCCTAAACGTTTCGGGCAATTACCCCCAAACTCAATTCCAGCTTTCCCTTTGTGATATGGAACCTTGTAGTACAATTTCAGAAATATCCAAACACTTGCACACAAGTTATTGTCATGAAACTAGAAAATTGCTTGTTTTTTGCCCCTTTTTTGGTCCCTAATTCCTAAAATTTTGAGGCAATTACCCCCAAAATCAATTACAGCC